AGAATAATGAATTCTTGTATACGTCCGCCTGTTTCGGGAGCAGAGTCGACGGCAATATCCCTGCTCTGTGATCACAGCTTACAACTGTTGTACTCGAAAATGGTCACGCTGGTTGAATAATCTGCAAACTCGAAGTCTCTCGGATCTGAGACCTGCAGACTGCGGCGTAGGCTGTCTTAGTCTAGGTAACAATTGCCTGCCTTGGCATGGATCGCTGCCTGCTATGCTAGTCTGTTAGCCCGCGGGGAGATTCCGTAACCTCCCTGTCTACTCCGTAGGTATTCCGTCACGAGATTACAAGCCATCCGGTCAATCCAGGACAACGTAACTTGAAAACATGAAGCCAGCATTGTCAGAATAACAGCGATCACTACAGAGTGAGGCAGGTGACGTCCTGTTCAGGGTGATTGGGAGAAGTGCCATCTAGAAGTGAGGAAAGCCCGTACGTACTGACTACAGAGTACTTCGTATGCATGAAGCATCATTCATAAGCCGCAGGGTGAACGGCACTACTTAGTCAACGTTTTGTACCATGCCGTCATCGCCTTGGAACGTACAGATCAGAGACCGGGGCTGCGGTGAGATCCGCAGGCACCAGTCTGAAAACTGTAAAGCGTGCATGTTGGCGCCGCGGGAGGCTGGAGAAAGCTCGGGACTGTAGCCGACAACATTAATGCCCTCAATGTTTTTCTCCAACACTGCATATTAACTGAGACGCTGGTCAATATCAGCTTTTCCGGTCTACCGAGCTCAGAATGCAATTGTAATTGTTGGCGAGGGTCATGTCCATATCATCCTGTGGGAGAGCACCCAAGTCGTGACTCGTGAGGATTGTGTCGGCCCGAACGAGTAGAGCAATCTGCTAAAGCCCGAGCCGAATCTTGTGGCGGATCACAACTCCCGAATATCAGCCTACATAGGCGGAAATGACGTCCTCGCACATAAGTTGGCACCAGTACTTCACTACCAGTCCACGGATCCCTTATTACCTTATTGTTGGCGATAGAAAGACACTGCAAGTGCGGTTATGTCATCCCGTAGCGAGTCAAAAATTTTTGCAGTGGAGCCACACGCAGGAGTTGGAGAGGAGCGCCACATCTGGAGTAAGAAACTTAAGGATCAGCCAACGATCGTGTTAACCAGACATATGCAATCAGTGGCGCCCTCTCAGTTGCCTCTCAGTTGCCCCAGGGGATATCCTATCGGAAACCAGGCAAGAGATCCGCTATAGGCTTCGTCTCCGTTTCCTCTCTGGTTCTATCAACAAACGACGAATGAGAGTGCAGCGGTCCTGTCGGTTCATCAATTGAAAGATTTCTCAAGACTATGACATAGTTTGCATTAGAAAACTGTTCCCGGACAGATGCAGATATTTAGGATCAAACAATCAGACGCTCAGCAGTGGGGAAGTGGGCACTGTACTCCAAACGGAAATGAGCACTGCGAGCACTTCCAGTGAGCATGAGAATATCAGCAAAAGTCTTTCACTCCTTATAAACTCACCTCCATCCCTCAATCCCATTCTCATGTCACTTTTCCCAATCTTCCTTTACTTCTTTTGCCCCCTCTTTACCTCGCCTTCTCTTCTCCGCAAACCTTTCCACTTTAGCACTGCAGTGCAGGCTCACCCCTTGCAGTCTTGATCGCCTGTGACAAAAGGCTTGTCTAGCAGTTTGTTCTCGTCAACAGTTTCCGGCTTGTTGATAAAGTCAACCAGGCAGACAATTGGCAATATCGGTTTCGTAACCTTGTTTCCCTCTTGGTATCTTGTATCATTGTACCCTGTATCGACATCTCGATCTTTGTGTCCGCCTGCAACAACGGTTCAGACCTATCGCGTCTCCAGCAGTATCGACGCCCATAGCAGCAATAACATCTAGTTATCCCGCAGCGGCCAACCTGCCTCTCCAAGTCGAATGCTCGTACCAATTTACCGAACAACCCTTATGCGACAGTGATTTCGATTGGCCCCATTCAGAGCTTCCTACGGACGGCCCACGCGAATACCCTCAGCACAGCAGCTCGACACGGACTCCTAATTCGGCCCCAGTGCTATTCTTGCATCCATTGGCTTTGCTGATTTTCGCTTGCAACAATGAGCAACCTTGATCTAGAGAAGAAACCGAGCGTTAAGCCGGGGTCGAGCGACACCTCGTCTGGATGCGACGATGCCGACGCGATTCGACTTGCTGAGATGGGCTACTCACAGGACCTGCAGCGCAATTTTGGTGTGATATCTCTCATTGGTATCGCGTTTTGTATGTCCAATTCATGGTTTGGTATCTCGGCGTCCTTGGTCACTGGTATCAACTCCGGCGGCACAGTCCTCATCGTTTACGGTCTGTTGTGGATCACATTCATTTCCATGTGTGTTGCCTCGTCGCTCTCGGAACTTGCCAGTGCCATGCCAAATGCTGGAGGCCAATACTTCTGGGCAAATGAACTGGCACCCAGAAAGTACGCTCGGTTTGCGTCCTATGTCACGGGCTGGTTTGGCTACGCCGGGGCTATTTTCGCCTGTGCCAGTGTCGCTCTGAGCCTTGGGTCTGCAGGTGTTGGCATGTGGCAGCTTGGCCATCCTGAATTGTATGCTTAATCCCTGACCCTTTTCTCTGCCGAAATGGCATCTTGCGCGTCGGGCTGACACTCCAATTCAGTACGGTTAAGCCATGGCATGTGGTTGTGGCTTATGAGATTATCAACTTCTTCTGCTACCTGTTCAACTGCTTCGGAAAATCGCTGCCTTTGGTAGCAAAGGCCACCCTGTACATCTCGTTGATCTCTTTTCTGGTGATCTTGGTCACGGTCCCTGCTTGTGCCAGGACTCATCCCAGTGCATCATACGTCTTTGGCCACTTTGTCAATTCCACAGGATGGAAGCAGGACGGTATTGCATTTATCGTTGGCCTGATCAACCCGAACTGGATTTTCGCCTGCTTGGACTCCGCAACACATCTGGCGGAAGAGGTACCTCACCCCGAGAAGAATATCCCGATTGCGATTATGGCCACAGTAGTGATCGGCTTCGTCACTTCCTGGACGTATTGCATCGCCATGTTCTTTGGACTCAATGACCTGAGCAAACTTTTGAGCACGGCAACTGGAGTTCCCATCCTGGAGCTTTACTACCAGGCTCTCCAGAACAAGGCTGGCGCTATTGTCCTTGAAACCTTGCTGCTGGTGACAGGCATGGGGTGTCTGATTGCCTGTCATACATGGCAATCCCGTCTTGCCTGGGCGTTTGCACGCGACCGTGGACTGCCAGGCCACAAGTGGCTTGCTCAAGTCAACAAGTCTCTGGACGTGCCACTGATGGCACATAGCGTGAGCTGCTTCATCGTTGCCGCACTGGGTCTGCTCTATTTAGGATCGTCTACTGCGTTCAACAGCATGGTGACGGCATGCATCACATTGCTGTATCTCTCGTACTCGTGCCCGATTCTCTGCCTCTGGTATCGTAGCCGCAATAACATCAAGCGTGGGCCATTCTGGCTGGGTAAATGGGGCCTCGCGGCCAACATTGTCACCATAGCTTGGACTGTCTTCTGCTTGATCATGTACTCGTTCCCAGCGACTATGCCAGTCACGACAGGGAGTAAGTGTTCTCGCTCACGTTACTCGACCGTAACACCTTTGCTAATATCATCGACAGATATGAACTATGTCTCTGCAGTGTATGGTGTCGTCGTCGTCATTGTTCTGGCCGATTGGTTCGCTCGAGGCAGACGATCTTTCCGAGGCAGCCAAAGCTGTTGGGAGGATGCAGCGGCAGCGGAAACGGAGCACTAAGTATGAGGTTGGAAGAGGGTTTGTCCTTTCTTGATAGCGTTTATGCTTGTTTCTTGAAGCAGGATTCGACTGTGCCAGAGGGCCCGGAGCTCGAGCAAGTCTGAATCAATGTATATAGACGATACCCTACCGTGTTACATAGAGAATCAATAGGCCTGGAATTACTCCGCAGTCATGGACTATTTCAGGACGTCTTCAGCACAATTCAAATGCTAACTGGCCGTTCTTCCAACAAGGACATAGATCTCTATGGAATGAAAGCAGGCCTACAACGCTGTAGCCTGTACGGGTGGCTGAAAATGAAAAAAGAAGTAGGCAGAGAAGCACGATGAACTCCAGCGACCTTGTGACTGACAACTATGCCCGTTCTGGTCAATTAGCAGCCTGAATTGTGTGCCTTATTAGATTGGACCCTCACTACTCAACGCCATATGTGTTCGTACACGTGTAATCATGCCTCAGCTCAAAGACAACGACGTAGGTGCTAGTGAATGATTGGTATGAGTCGCGAGATGCAGCAAGAGAATTTTCTCAGCTTAATAGCTGTACTGATATATCTTTCGTCAGAGCGAATTACATGGCTTGAAGTCTGCGGGATATTTTGATATGTTTGTGGTCGTAGAAATTAACTAAACTGCCGTGCCCAGCCAACTACTTAACTTCGTACCTGTACAACACCCAAAGCCAAAACATCACTATCTAGTGGTAAATTCTGCCTTTCTAATTTCTTTCTAAGATCGTCATAAAGTCGATGAGTCTTTATTGCGAACAATAATATTCCATTTTGAGTGCTGTCAAGACTTTTGACAATTGGTTAACGTACAGTGGGGCGCGCTTTAAGGTTACCACACGAAAAAATCTCTCATTGCGCTGGTTACTCACGGCCAACCACCGAAACCTCAATGCTTCCGCTGTACGTAATAGGACATCCGTTGGTTGGAGTAACTCCAATTCTCCCCCAGGATGATCTGAATGTGAGCGCTTCTAGAACTGATCCAGGGCTGGTTGAGTTCTTTTCTCTCGTAAGCTTATGTCGTGAATGAACTTTGTGCCTGGATTCAAATATCGTCACCCCGCAATCGGCGTCCCGCTTGTGTGACGTGAGCAATCATCAAGACTCATTAAGACAAGTTCCGAGGGCGAACTTGCATGTAGAGCTCTTCACAGACTGCGGTTATTCTTTGACGCGTCAAATGGGCTTGTCTGACAAAATGACGGCCGCAGAGGCAACCATTCCCGAGTTGCTCGAGGAGCAAGCGGACTCGGTCCCCGAGTCCAGAGTATTGATCATCATGACCGGAGGGACGATTTGCATGAAACAGTCACCCTCGGGGTTTGTGCCAGCTCGAGGATTCCAGGAACAGTGCCTGGCCCGCGTGCCTACTTTCAACGATGGCTCCTCCTCCACGATGATGGACGTTGTGGTCAATGCGGCGGGAGAGATCAGTCCGCATCAGAGTCTACGAACGCCGCAGACGTTGTACGGCCGCCGGGTGAGATACACAGTGTTTGAGTTCGAGGAACTACTGGATAGCAGCTCCATCGACGCCAAGGGTTGGACCGAGATCGCACGGACGATCAAGCGGAACTACACACTCTTCGATGCCTTTGTCGTGCTGCACGGCACCGACAGCTTAGCATATACGTGCTCCGCGCTGAGCTTCATGCTCCAGAATCTCGGCAAGACGGTCGTTCTTACGGGCGCACAGGCTCCGATGCTGGAGCTACAGAATGACGCTACGGACAACCTCCTGGGCTCCTTGGTTGTGGCGGGCCACTTCGTGATCCCGGAGGTGTGTCTGTACTTCAACAACAAGCTCTTCAGGGGCAACCGGTCGTGCAAGGTGGCGGCCAGTGACTTTGCGGCATTCGACTCGCCCAACTGCCCGCCGCTGGCGGTGACAACGTCGATGCGCACCAATGTCAACTGGGAGCTTGTGAACCGGCCAAAGAATATCGAACACTTCAGCATTCAGACAAATCTGGATACCACGCACGTCGCGTGTCTTCGCATCTTCCCTGGCATCAAGCCGGAGATGGTGGACGCCGTGCTGAAGCTTGAAGGACTCCGCGGATTAGTGCTGGAGACCTTTGGCGCGGGAAACGCACCGCACGGCCAAGACAATGCCATGACTAACGTCCTTGCCGACGCGATCAGGAGAGGGATCGTCATTGTTAACGTCACTCAATGTAAGCTCTCGTGCAAGGCCCTTGCTGCGAACGATGCTGACCACAACCAGGCCTGACCGGTAGCGTGAGCCCCGTCTATGCGCCGGGAATGAGTCTTTCCCGCGCAGGCGTCGTTGCAGGTCTCGACATGACGACAGAAGCCGCTCTTACCAAGCTGTCGTACCTTCTGGCTCTTCCGGATTCCACGCCCGAGTCCGTGGCCAAGGCCATGTCGGTCTCGCTTCGCGGAGAGTTGACTGAAGTGTCGCAGCCGATGTTCCGCCACCCGGACGGTGCACTTCCGGAGCGGGTGCAAACGCTCACCATGCTGGGATATGCGATCGCGCAGGGAGATTTCGAACGCGTGCAGGAGATCTTCAAGATCGAGCATCACTGGATCTTGAACGACGCAGATTATTCCGGAAACACTCCAATCGTATGGAAACCGTATTCCTCACTCAGAAGAGACTCAGCTAACGTGAACCGCAGCATCTTGCCGCAACCTCTCCGTCCGTTGAGATTCTCCGCTTCCTTCTGCTGCAGGGAGGGTCAGTGCATATTCGAAACCGCAACGGGCGCACACCGCTGTTCCTCGCTGCCAATGCCGGGCTGTCAGAGCATGTCCTCTTGCTGCGCAAGTCAGGCGCGCATCTGCATTCTGATGAACGACAAGCAGCCGAACTCCTTGCACGGCGCAGGCCCGCCGTTTGGGGTCTAGCCGGTATTGGGCCGAGGCAAGTTAGCGACCGCGAGATGGAGGAAGAGGACGAGGCGCTTCTGGGACGACGAGAGATTCCCAGTCGGATGCTGTCTGGCTCTGCTCCTTGATGTTCCAGACCATTTCTTCTCCGCAATCGAAATAGACTGGTCAGTCACTTGACCTGTTCGTCTGGCTCGAGATTAAGGGGCGTGACTGCTCATTTATCCAACTTAACGACTTATAGACGTCTAATTAGATTAAACTATAGGACTTAGTGACTTCTTATAACATGTTAGTGCATGATGGACCTTCCAGCACGAACCCGTCCTGAGGCGTAGAGTTTCAAGAGTCGAACCCCCAGGAAGTATTTATAAAACAATATAAAAAAGTGACTAAAAGCCGCGGAGATAGTCACCCCAAGGCCAAGGCGATAAACCTAATCGCCCCCCAGCCAAGGCCAGTTGATAAGGTTACATTCCCACTCTGCAAGCTGCAACCTTCATCACTACCTAACTTTCTCCTCTGTACCTATCTCGAGAACCTACAGTCTAGATACAGTTTACAGTTTACACTACAGTCTACTCTACTCAGTCTAGTGGCTAGCTCATTGCTGTCCGGGGAGTACCCCGCATCCGGGAAATGCAACCATCATGAAGTAGTTCGATTTACACTTTCCAACCGGCCAGTAGAGACGGACTAGTGGGAGTACCTGGAGAACCGGTGATCGAGCACGTCATGTGGTTTGACTAGGATTTTTCTAGATGCTCACTAGCCCGTTCTACGATGTTATCAGTGCTGATAATGATATTACCTGAGGCGATTTCGTGATTGATTGATTTCTTCGTGGTGCGATTCGGACGCGCAATGATGAATTCGGGGCTGCGATAATTGTCAATGACGAGATGAGCAGCAGAAATTGATGAAGATTGTGTCATTCGCTCATATGGGGATGAGGATGAAGTTGTTTGTTTGTTTGTTTGGCCAGCTGCCAGCGTATACTCCAGCGCATGATGAGGTACAATCAGCTTCGATTCCGGAGTCCGGAGAGGAGCCGGAACGACTGCTGTAGGCTCTGGACTTGTCACTTGACCATGGGCCAGGGTGATGGATTAGCGTAGGATTTTTATGCTAATTTTAGTTTGGATTTCCGCTTGACCAGACACCTGTAGTCCAACAGTAGTTGTTTGATGCTTCACAGTTCACTATCAAATACCAGCGATTGATGGATCAATAGTCGACGCCGTGCAAAGTGCAACAGCGACCTCGTGGGTAATTCCAGCTCAAGATTGGCTGTCCGCTTATCCCCGGAGGGTCAGGATGGCATGCCGGATGGGTCTCGAAACAAACGTGCTCTGGAAGGAGGATTCTGCTGGTCCTTTTTGGATGATGTTCAATATTATTCAGGCTCTTGCGAGGCTTAGAGTTAGGAAGAAGCTCTTGGCGCGATCGTTGAATTAGCACCAGGTACAAAGTCAGCCTGGCTATCGATGGAGTATGCGTATCAAGAGGGTCCAAACGTGTAACCCACGTTGCAGCTTGGACGTTGGCCTCCTACTCTCAGGCACGAGAACGAAGGACCCTGTATATGCTCTGCCTAGCACATATCAATTCAATGAGGTTGAGGTCAAAATAATCTGCAATAGTCTTCAATGACTCGCCATAGGATAGACTTGAATTCTGATTGGCCGCCAAGTCGATTACTCTGTAGCAGAATACGGACAACCATCAAAGAAACATGCGCATATAAGCATATATTCCTGGCGCATGAATAATGCCAGTGTCAAAAGAGCTATTATTTCTTATGGCAAGCCCTACACAGCAGTGATATTATTTACGGATACCGCTCTACTCCAAACTCCAAACTTCAAAGTTGCATCGGCAATGTCTCTGCCATTATCCCTGAGCATCACAGTGCATCCCGAGTTACGTAAATTAAAAGAATGTGTATGGCCCAAAGTGCCACCACCACTGCCTTGATTCAGCCAGCATCTCAGACTTCTCGGTAGTAGTGAAGATTCTGGTGAATTCTGCCTCAAAGCGCGGTTATTGCGATCATGCACCATCGACTCGAATTTCCTGTCTTGTTCATGCTGCCCACCTGCCATCCGGTGCGTTGTCGTCGGTGTCATTCCGTCTTGGGACCAGATTCATTGATCAATCGGACCATGTGGATTCTTTTACTTGAATGATAGGTAAGGTACTCGACTTAGCACTCTTAGGTACGAAAAATCAACATAGCGGCTACCTTACCAGCCCACGTTTCTCAGTCAGGGGCTAGATACCTTAGGCAAGTTCGATCCTGCCAGATCAAAGATAGATAGTAAACAGATGGAGTGAATTCTATTACTCGATAGTTTGAGTGGTTCGGACCTGAATCGGAGGCATTGGTGACACTCAATGACATTGAAAAATGATGGTGAGGGACAACGACAGAGGATTCTCTGTGATTCCTTCGTTCTCTTATTAGAAGTTTCTACTAGTAGATAACAGTAGTAAATAATTGTTGGCAAACCCAGACGATCCCAACCCAGACCAGTGACTAGTTTCTCTAGTATTACTCTTAGTGGGAAGGTCTGAGACTCTGGACGCTAGAGTCTTGATCCATTCTGTAGATGGATAGCATCGGTCACTGGCAGAATTCCATACATATCGCAGAGTAGACCGGCCCGGTGTGTGCTACAACAATAATTTCTGCATTTACAGCCAGAAACCCCCTATACTTACTCCCAAAGATCTCTTTTCTACTCGAGAACAAAGAATAAGGACAAGAACATTTATATTGCATCAGTCCATCAAAAAGTGGGCTGGGAATCTCGGAACCGACAGACGCTTTGCACTGGATCCACGGTCAGCGTCATTTATTTTTTATTTCTGAAAATTTTCTACTTTTTGCTCACGGGGTCTGGAGTCTTTTTTGCGAGTGCTGATTTTTCCCCTATCAATTCTAGTGCGTGACCCATTTGAGTGCTTTATTATTTGCTTAGTTTTAATTTACAGTATTAATGATTTTTTATTCTTTGGAGTAGATATAGTAGTATACTTATCCGCTTGGGCCCTGGTCAGCATCGGACGGATTCAACGTCACCATAATCATTCATTACCTTGGGGGCACAGAGGAGACCACCTTGGGAGCGACATACAACCGTTATCTATTATTATTTCATTGCACAATTAGCTCAGCTGATTGCGGCAGTATTTTATGGTTGTTGCAAGAACCACGTTGAGGGGCATCAATTGATTCCCACTATCAACTATCTAGTTAGTTATACAACTGCTGCCCCTCTCCTCCTCCTCCTCCTCCTCCGCCCATTTACCCCACCGTGACTTTTTTTCCTCTTCTTGCCCTCTCTTCGTTTTTATGCGGCGCCTTTGGGGTTGATGATTTCCTTTTCTTTTCACATACTGATTGAAGGCTCTTAGAGTCAATCTTCATACACAGAACTATCATATGGGCCATCGTCTTCCTTATAGAACCGCCCCAGTCCTACTCCAAACCATCTTCTGCGGTCTCCGATCTCCGGACTCACCCGTTACTCTATCGGGTCAGACCTCCTACGCCTTATCATCCGACTTGCTTCCCATTCCACCTCCTTCTACCCCGCATTCTCTATTTCCGCCCATCTCCCTTCAGCCGACAGTGTTCTTGGGGGTTGAAGAGCTCGTCGCTTCCGTCTGACTGTCGCCCTTCCCGCTTCAGAGATCAGCGCTCCGGATGACACAACAAAGAAAAACCATTGCCGTCGTGAATGCGACGGGCCGTCAGGCTGCCTCCCTTATCCGCGTCGCTTCTGCCGTCGGTCACAATGTACGAGCTCAGATCCATTCCCTCAAGGGAATCATAGCGGAGGAGCTGCAGGGACTCCCCAATGTCACACTCTTCCAAGGATCGCTGCTCAATAACACCGCGTTGATGGACACCCTGTTCCAAGGCGCCAACCTCGCGTTCATCAACACAACATCACAAATGGGAGATGAGGTCGCGATTGGAAAAGCGCTGGCGGACGCTGCGAAACGGGCAGGTACCATCCAACACTACATCTACAGCAGTATGCCAGATCACTCGGTGCATGGCCCGTGGCCTCCCGTACCCCTATGGGCTCCCAAGTTCACCGTCGAGAACTACATCCGACAACTTGGACTGCCTGCAACCTTTGTGTATGCAGGAATTTACAACAACAACTTCACAAGTCTACCATACCCTCTCTTTCAGATGGAGCTCATGCCGGACGGGAGCTTTGAATGGCATGCGCCATTCGACCCGGACACTCCATTGCCTTGGTTAGACGCCGAACACGACGTGGGGCCCGCGCTGCTTCAGATTTTCATGGACGGGCCCAAGAAGTGGCACGGTCATCGGTAGGTTACCCGGGAGAATACCCCGGTCATGGGAGACAGTTGCTGATGGTTCTTTTGTCGCACAGGATCGCCCTTACATTCGAGACCTTATCCCCAAACCAGGTGTGCGCAGCTTTCTCGCGCGCCTTGAATCGTCCGTGTCGTTACGTTCATATCCCCAAGGTTGAAATCAAAGTCAACATTCCTGCCGGATACCGGGAACAGCTCGAAGCCATCGAGGTGGTCTTTGGGCAGTACAACGCGCCTTATTTTCCTCAACCCGAGTTCTCTCGTCCTGCAGCCGGGTCGCCCAAGGGGCTGGGGCCTGCCAATGGTAAAGGCGCCGGGGCGGGAATGATGCAGGGCCCCGGAGGGGTCGTCTCACTTCGAGTCACCGACGAGGCCCGGCAGCTGTGGGAGGGCTGGAGAGACATGGAGGAATATGCGCGAGAAGTGTTCCCAGTAGAAGAGGAAGCCAACGGGCTAGACTGGATGTTGTGATACAAAGCGCAACCTGAATCATTGCTCTAATTTTCCATACGTGCAATCACTGTCGCATTGGAAGATTATTGGGCAGTTGAGAACACCGTCGGGGTGCCTGTTGAGAGCGCGCCCCTGTCATCCGCTGATAGAAAAAAGTATACCCCTAGGCCGTCGCGTCCAGTCGCTGAATGAGACCCGATTGGCTCGATACGGAGGTTGCATCGTCTATTGCGCCGCTAACGACGCTGTGCCCCATCCTTATCTCTCTCTCCGTCTCACCTCCTCTTAATCATCATTGTCGCCTTTACCC